AAAGATAAAAAGATTCCTTTTTTTATTCAGCATAAAAATCCGAAAGGCCTAGGGGAAGCTCCTATCCATGCATTCCAAAGGAAATCTGTAAAGACGGGGACCAGGGAGCAGACAGCTGTTCGGAATCACTGGCTCTGCGTCTAATGCCATAAACACAAATTTAAGCTATGAAAAATAAGCATTCTTAGAGGGAAAGAATGAAGCTCGTTGGAGTACCAGAGGACCTGCATCCACACCGACCGAGTAAAATGTGGAGGCTCCTGGCAGTCAGAAGTACTGATGTGAGGCCTGCTCAGAAACTGCTCAGGACTCTCCCTGGGAACCGGTCCCTCCCCCAGAGCAGGGCTGCTGCATCGAAGCACCTGCAGCAAGAGAGCTGGAAAGATAACTGTGACAGGAGCCTATAGCTCCCTCTCAGCGGCAACCACAGTGCCCTGTGCCGCACCCCGCTGTGACGACAACACAAAGGGCGGCACAGGCACACGCTGACATTGGGCACAGCACAGGTGCACACACGCAGAGTGAAAAGCCAATCCCAGAAAGCCTGGCAGTGACGTGCAGCCACACCGCTCACGGAGAGGGACAACATGAGAGCAAGTGGAACGAGCTGAGTGGTACACACACAGTTTGGGTCGCAGACAAGCTGTTTTAACGGACACAGTTAATCAGGCACAGATGTTTAGTGTGTCTCGTTATCTCTTTTTGAGACGTCTTGCATGGGTGCTTTTTGGTGAGTTACGGTACACAGTGAGAGCTGAGGAAGTCACCCAAAAACCAACTGTCTTTGCTGAGGAGACCCCTGGGCCTTGCCTTGTTGCTGTCTGAGAGGCCGTGTCACATGCTGCCCATCAACAAGGACTTCCTGTAGAAACACTGCGTGTGGCCATCAAGTCCCTAAGGTCTGCCAGCCCCCGGACTCAACATTCCAGGAAAAAAGTTTGATGTTTTAATTTCAAGGAAAGTTTTCACTTCAGTGTCTCTCTCTTAATGGTTCAAAATTGAAAGAAGCCAGAGTTGAAACGTTATTTATTATCTTTCATCCATTAATTTGTACATGTCCAGCAAAGCATATCACTTGCAGATCCATGAAAACTATCCTGGCTTTTCCAATTTCTGGAAGAAAAAGAGGAAGTCCACAGCCCCGCTGGTCTATGGAATGCCATCGTGGCAAGGAGGGTCCCCGGACTGCGCGGGCAGGAAGTGCTGTGGGCACCTGACTCTTAACTGGCCATTACTCTCAGGAAACAGCAGAGCCTACGGGGCCTTAAAAACGACCTGCTGTCTCCTCACTTAAGAGAGGAAGGAGCTGGGTCTGGGAAGGAAACCTTGCCAGCTGGTGGCAAAGAGGAGACTCGAACCTCATTTTACCATACACCTTAACATCAGTTATTCTGACTCTAAAAATTACCTCTTAAAACCCAATAGGACTGATGGTCACTAATGAGCTAAGTTTCAAACTATCTAAAATACAAAATTATTTAATAGTCCACTTTGTCTTAGTTACTGAGTTCTTGGTAACAAATACAAACTTAATTTGCCCTCCCACTAGCCTAACCATCTTCCCTCAAATGCCTGTATATGCAAATAAGGATGTAAACCAGTGATTCCTGTGTTATGATCAAGGTGCTTTCAGATGCTCTTACCTTCTCTTGGTCGTACTTGGAAGACCTCATCAGAGAGTTTTCTGCAAGTTCTTTGGCTGTGTCTGAACCAAAAATGACTTTTGAGTTCTCATTAGATGACTGTCAAAGTCAAATTGCCTTTCAGTCAAGAACCCATCAGTCAAGAAGGGAACATTATGTCACTTCAGGACCTTTGAGGGTCTGAGTTGGTTTCAAGTCTTGATCAAGTGGTAGATTCAGGAAGTGGCTGAGCCATCAGTGAGTAGTAACTTTCAAACAGCCAATTCTTTTAAGGGGTAGCTTGCAAGAGAGGCGCAGAATCAGACAAGAAGCCAGCCCTGGCAGTGCCTGAGGTCCCGCCCAATGCAGTGATGGACCAGAACACACTGAGGCCACAGACTTTCAGTAATGTGCCATGATCTAGATTGGTGTTGATTCTAAAGTTTGAAGTTTTGCAATAAGGCATTAAACTGCTAAATTTTGGAGGCAGGTTTGCAAATCACTGGAAAATCAAGAGAGAAACATATTGTGTTAAAAAAAAAAAAAAAAAAAAAGTGACCCTAAGTTTGAAGATGTAGGATGCAGCATATGGAACACTAAATTGTCAAGATGCATGCCAAGATGGCCTGTGATATCAGGGTTCAAGCTGTACAACTGGAAGTGCATCTTAGAGTCTTTGTTAGAAATGCCGCATTTCCGCACGATCTCCCTCCAGGAGGATGCCTGCTCTTCCCCTCCCCGCTTCTTTCCCTCAGGCATACATCTCCTAAACTCTAAGGCAGCAGTTGCCAACCTTTCGCACCTCATGGACCATCAGTTGGCAACCGCTGCTCTAAGGGACTCCATGAGACTTGTAACCAGGGGAGAATCGGGCAGTGGCAGTGCATCCCGGGCTAACTCCTGAACCTTCCTCTTACTCTCCAGTGGGCTGACACAGCCCTGAGTTGGCTCACTTCTTTCCTGCAACATTTCTAGAAAGCCAAATCAGCCCTGCCTACTTGCTTTCCTCTCGTTTTCTCTATCTTAGGCCCTTCCTTGTTCCCCAGCTTTAATAAATGTCCTCTCAAAATCACCTGAACTCATGTTGTGAAGTCTTTTCTGCACAAAGTCAAGAACTCACTCCAGGCCGGCAAGGTCAGTTCCTTGCTTGGTAACATTTTCTGATGACCCAGATGGACCCTGTTTCTGGAGCCCATGCAGCCCAGCTGGCTCACTTCTACCACCTCCTTCACTTTCAACATCATCAGTAACAACTGGTGCCATTTCGGCATCAAGACCACAGGTAACATACGGTGCCATAACTCAGATCACCTATAATTTACCTGAGCACCTGATGACATCACCAGAGATATTTAAACTGCAAATAAAAAGGATCTGTCAGATTTCACTGCTTGCTTTCATTCCAGCAAAAGAAACTCTGTCTTATATAAAAAATTTTTCTTGACAATCTTACAAACTCAGAAACTAGTTTATAATTTGTTCTGATCATTAACCTTTTTTTTTATTCTTCTGTTTCTATAAGCATATCTCTTATTAAATACCTGATTGCTTGTTTTTAATAAAAGGAATGTGGCATCTCATACAACACCACAAACTCAAGACTTGTCTTTTACTATTTATCTTTAAAGTAATGTACAAAGTAATGCAAATTATAATTTTGTCCCTCTTCCAAAAACACACAATATAAACTAAAACAAATGGACACATAAAGGAAACACAAAAGAAAATTAAGAGTGATCTCAAAATGTTTCAATAAGGAACTTTATGAAATCTAGTTTTCCTTTTCTTCTCCCTTAACTAAAAGTTCACATGCTATGGTGGCCAGAGGGTGAAATCAGCTACACATATTATCTTAATCCTTCTCTTAGAGCAGTGGTTCTCAACTTTCCTAATGCCGCGACCTTTAATACAGCTCCTCATGTTGTGGTGACCCCCAAACATAAAATTATTTTCGTTGCTACTTCATAACTGTAATTTTGCTACTGTTATGAATCGTAATGTGTTTTATCTGTGTTTTCCGATGGTCTTAGGTGACTCTGCTATCAGTTCTCAACCTATGGGTTGCGACCATCGGAAAACACAGATATTTACATTACGATTCATAACAGTAGCAAAATTACAGTTATGAAGTAACATCGAAAGTAATTTTATGGTTGGAGGTCACTACAACATGAGGAGCTGTATTAGAGGGTTGAGGCATTAGAAAGGTTGAGAACCACTGCCTGAGAGGCTATTTTATAGAAAAGTTACAAACAAAATAATGAGGGATTGATTGAAGCAAGTTTGGCAAGAGAATCAAAACAGAAAGCTGAGAAAATCTATTTGTTACAATGTCATAAAATTCATAACATATCAGACTCAAAATCTAGCCAATGAACAACCTCTTGATCCTGAAAACACAGGAAAAGGGCAAACCGTGAAATTAGCATTCATACCAACTAACTTTCATTTAAAGTACATTTGAGCCCAGCCGGCATGCCTCAGGGGTTGAACATCCACCTATGAACCAGGAGGTCACGGTTCGATTCCTATTCAGGGCACATGCCTAGTTTATGGGCTTGATCCCAATTAGGGGGAGTGCAGGAGGCATCTGATCAATGATCCTTTCTCATCATTGATATTTTTCTCTCTCTCTCCTTCTCCCTTTTTGGGGTCAATAAAATATATTTTTAAAAATACTACATTTGGGAGACATCTGAAAATTCAAAATCTTTTCTTAATATCCAATAATTTCAAATTTAAAGACATTTATTCCTGATTGGGGAAATATAACACTGCATTAGTTAAAGTCCAAAATATTATTTATAATCTTGTTTGTAAATCATTTGAATTTTAAACCATAATTAACATTAGGAATACCTCCCTCTGAAATTTTGCTGTGTAAGTTTCCTGGGGCCATACTCTGTGCTTTCCCTCCCTCAAGAACAGAAGAGAGTCATAGATTAGCCAGATGTGTGTTTCCCACGCTCATTCTTTTTAACAAAGTGGCTTGTTTCAGAGACTTCCTGAGGCAGCCTGCAGATGCTGCCCCTGCAGAAGCATGTCCCAGGGCCAGGAGGAACAAGCCCTGCACCTGGCGACCTTCCCGCACGGAGCGCGCCCGTGCTGCTGCAGCCTGCCGGTGAGCGACCCGGCACGGCGGACATGAAGACCCCAGGAGCACCCGGCACGACTGTCCGTCTCTCAGCCCAGGAGACCCTGCCAGAGCTTTCTCACCACCCTGCACCGGAGAACGGCAGTGACCAGTCCGCGAGGGACTGTTCCTGGTGTCATGGCAGGAGAGGTAGAGAGGGCACAACATCAGCACAGACAGAAAGCATCACGGCGGCCGTGCAAGGTGGTTAGCGAGAAGCCACGCACTGTTCGGGACCCTCAGACTCAGGTGCCCTGCTCATGACCAACCTGCCGTGGCCCTGCATGTCCCCCAGCTCCTTCTGCAGCCTCGCGTTCTTCTCCTCCTCCTCCAGCAGCCGCCTCTTCACAGTGCGCAGCTCCTGCTGGGCCTCACACTTGATGTCATTGGCCACCACCACCGCGGTCTGCAGGTCCGCCTGGAAGCGCCTCCACTCCTCGGTTTCCTCCTGAGAATGCCAGAGCACACGCACACATCAGACGCCCGCTGGGGCTGGCACCCTGGCGGGGGCTCCGGTCCCCCATGCCCAACACTGAGAAAGACCAGCTGGGCCGTCTCAGTGAGGCGCTGGCATCCCACTACAGGGAAAATGCACAGGTGGGAGGCAGGCCTTGCTGCTATCAGAGCTCTCCATCCTGACACTGAATGGCTGCTTCACCTTTACTTCCTGCCAACACTGACCTGGGCCCATCCCGTGGAAATGCGCTATGAAAAAACAGGCTAGAGAGAGTAGTCAGGGTATTTTTTCAAAGGTTTCCAGCTTCAGAGGGTGATTCCGGTGAAGTGCTGGAGAAGCTCCCGTCCCAGCTGTCACCGCGTCTCACCTTTATCTGCTTGGTCAGAGTCTTCAGCTGCCTCTCCAGGTCTGCTTTCTGTTCCTCCAGCTTCATCACACTGCCTAGGAACAAAGAGGTCAGACAGGAGGTGGCAGAGCTGCGAGACTCTTGGGGAAAGGTAAGGAAGGCAGCAAAGGAGCAGCTCCGGGTTCGGCAACAGCGTTAAACCCCCCACTCTCCTGAGAGTCCCATTCCCGGCACCTGAACGCCAGGGGCCAGAAGCAGGAGGTTCTTCTAAAAGAGCACGGTGAACTGAGAACCACGTGGGTTTTGGTCAGGCTACACCAGATGACAGGCTGTACACAACATGGCGCTGTGGAAGAGACCTCCACAGCTACTCACACTGTGACACTCGCTCTTGGCCTCCCTGAGTTTTGTGCACATCGTCCTGAATGTCCTTTTCCGCTGTGAGGCTTCTGGGTAGCAGACAGAAGATGTGACTACTTATTACCACGGAGCCTTTTAGGCCCGTTTCTAGAACTGCAGTTCTTAATCACAGTGAGACCTCAGAGTCACTTGGGGAGCTTTTCAAAAGCACAGATGTCCTAGCCGCAGACTGACCACGGAGGTGGATCCAGGGCAGAGGAAGGCAGTGTGTGTGCTTCAAGAGCCTTCGTGACTGACCACCTCTCCCTCACTCAGGCCATCTTTAGCTCCTCTCTCTGTCTCCAATTCCCCCATGTTACTGCCAGAGTCATTTCACTCTAATCTGATCATGTCGTCTACCTGGTTACAATCCTTCAGTGCTTCCTCCTGATACACAAAAGAGCAGCAGTTGTCTATTAAGAATATGAATCAGAGTTAATTTATCAGAGAAGCTTAAAAGTCCCACAGGCTCAGGTCCTCCCCTGAAAACTCTAATTCAGCATGTGAGGCCCAAGAATTTGTGTTTGGGTCAGTGCTGCAGAAAAAGAACATTTTATAGAAATGAGTTCACTTTTCTGTCCATTTCTCTCAAAGATTTTATGAGGAGGAGTGATTATCCTTGGCTGGGTTTGTGTGTCCCTGGGCCTCCTAGTGAAAAGATGTTAATAATACCTTAATAACCCTGACGGAAGCTAAAAGGACGCATGGTCTGTGTTATTGCCCGGCTTCATCTGAGATGACACAGGTGCAGGAGTCTGCCTGACATGTGTGGACATTGTTAACATGCTTCTTGTGTGGTATGCCTGTGCCAACTTTGAAGAATTTGGGACAACACAACAGAATTCTCAGTTGCAGTGTATCACTAAGTGAAAAACCAAACCAAACTGGACTTCTCTTGACTTTCTACTTCTCAAGTATGATGCTGTTTGAAGTACGCACTGACCACTGGTCACTGGCCATGGTGCTGGGCCTTCTGCTGCATGCTCAAGCATGACTACTGAGGTCAGCCTGAAGACACTGAGCCCATATGACAGGCCCCAAACACTGGATCCCGGCACTCCCCTTATCAAGGAGAACGATACACACTCAATTCTCATCATCTGCTGATTACATGGAGGTGCCACACAAACCCAATGAGAAAATATTAAACGATTGCTTCACAGGAAATACAGGGTTAAGGTCCTGTGAGGCTCTGGTCACATTTTCATGAAATAAAATGCTATTTGTGATTTATTTATTTACTTACTTACTTATATCTGTATTGTTGAAAGAGCCTTTCCCCCCCCTTTTGATCCCCTTTTCCAATGAACTCTTATAGCACACATCCACCCCCACCCTAGCACACTTCCCATCGCTCACCCCAGGCCTGTGAGTTACGCATGTATGCATATAAGATCTTTAATTGATCTCTTCCTACCCACCCACCTTCCCCTGCCTTCCCTCTCAGATTCCAGTCTGTTTCATCCATCCAGGTCTCTGGATCTATTTTGTTCATCAGTTTATTTTATTCATTACATTCTAAATATGAGTGAGATCATGTGATACTTATCTTTTTCTGACTGGCTTATTTCACTCAGCATGATACTCTCCAGGACCCTCCATGCTGTCTCAAAGGGTAAGAGATCCTTCTTTTTTAACAGCTTGCACAGTGTTCCATGGTATAATGTATCACAGCTTTCTATTCACTGGTCTGCTGAAGGGCACTTGGCTGTTTCTAGATGTCAGCTATTGTAAATTGTGCTGCTCTGAACATAGGGTGCATACATTCTTTCTGATTGTTTTTTTTGGGTCTCTTAGGTATATTCCTAGAAGTGGGATCACTGAGTCAAATGGCAATTTCATATTTAATTTTTTTAGGAAACCCTATATTGTTCTCCACAGTGGCTGCACCAGTCTGCCTTCCCACCAGCAATGTACTAGGGGGTTCCCTTTTCTCCACATCCTTGCCAGCACTTGTCATTTGTTGATTTATTGATGGTAGCCAGTCTGACAGGTGTGAGATGGTACCTCATGATTGCTTTGATTTAAATCTCTTGGATGATTGTGACTCAGATCATTTTTTTCATATGTCCCTTGGTCATCTGTATGTCCTTTTTGGAGACGTGACTATTTAGACCTTTGCCCATTTTTCAATTGTATTGTCTTACTTTTGTTAAGTTTTATGAGTTCTTTATATATTTTGGATATTAACTCATCAGATGTATCATTCATTGCCAGATATGTTCTCTCATACAGTGGCTCTCTTTTCATTTTGTTGATATTTTTATTTTTATTTTTTTGCTGTGCAGAAACATTTTATTTTGATGCAGTCCCCTTTGTTTATTTTCTTCCTAGTTTCCTTTGCCTTGATAGAAGTATCTGTAAACATATTGCTAAGAGAGATGTTTGAGATTTTGCTGCCTATGATTTCTTCTGGGATTTTTATGATTTCACAACTTACGTTTCAGTTTTTTATCCATTTTGGGTTTTCTCTTGTGTGTGGTGAAAGTTGGTGGTCTAGTTAATTTTTTTTCCCATGTATCTGTCCAATTTTCCCAAAAACATCTCTTGACTCCCATATATATTATCTTGCTTCCTTTGTCAAACAATTGAGCATTATAATTTGCTTGGGTCAATTTCTGGGTTCTCTTTTTCTGTTCCATTGTTCTATATGCCTATTCTTGTGCCAGTTCAATTTTCTTGAACTTACAGAGACTTGTTTTATGTCCTAACATGTAGACTATATTTGTGAATGACCCATGTGCACCTGAGAAGAATGCTGCTTTGTGGTGAAATGTTCTATAAATGTTCAGTTAAATCCATCTGATCCAGTGTGTCCTTTAGAGTCACTGTGTCCTTGTTAAGTTTTTGTCTGGAAGATCTACCCAGTGAAGTCAGAGGGGTGTTAGAGTTCCCTACTATGACTGTGTTGTTGCCCATCTCTCCATTAAAGTCCTCTAGAATTACGTGCTCCTATATTGGGTGCATATATATTTACCAGGATTATATTCTCTTGTTGGATCGATCCCTTTAGTATTATGTAGTGACCTTTGTTGTCCTTGTGATGACTTCATTTTAAAGTCTATTTTGTTGAATATGAGTATTGCTATTCCAGCTTTATTTTCTATTTGCATGGAAATTTTTTTTCATCACTTCACTCTCATCCTGTGTGTGTCTTTTGTTCTGAGGTGGGTCTCCTGTAGACAGCATATAGTTGGGTCATTTGTTTTGTTTTCTATTCCATTCAGCTACCCTATGTCTTTTGATTGAAGCATTTAATCCATTTACATTTAGCATTATTATTGATAGGTATTTATTGCCATTTTAACACTACTGCTGGAAGCAAATTCCAGTTGTTAGCATAATAAGTGAGAGAAGTTTATCAGAAGGCGATGGATAGCTTCAGCAGCTCTGAAAATCTGCATATATTATTGCCTGCTGCTGGAACAGCCCAAGGCAGTTCCCCAACCTGATAATCTTTTTATTGTTTACCAAACTTTACCTTTGCTAGAGGGAAAGATGTGTGAATAAAAAGCCCTGGGTGCGGGAGGAGATTCTTAGTCACTCCAACTAAGCTTCTTCTGGCTCCCCCAATATGCCTTCCAAATTCATATTTCTTCTCTAGCCTCGTCATTCATTTATGCGCAGCCATCCTGGCACTGTATGCCTAGGTTTCTCTCTCTGTTTCTCCTTCTCATTAGAATGGTCCCTTTGGCTCAGTGGTGATGTACCCCTTTAGCCTTTTTTTTTTTTTTTTTTGTCTGACAAGCTCTTTATTTGACTGTCTATTTTGAATGACAGCCATGCTGGCTATAGTAATCTTAGTTTTAGATCCTTGCTTTCCATTACCTTGAGTACTTGATGCCATTCCCTTCTGCCCTGTAGGGTTTGAGATGAGAAATCAGCTGACAGCCTTATGGGAGCTCCTTGGTAGAATTGCTTTTCTCTTTCTGTCTTTAATTTTTGACATTTTAATTATGATGTGTATTGGCATGAGCCTGTTTGGGTTCTTCTTCATTGGGATTTACTGTGCCTCCTAAACTTGTGTGACTTTTTCCTTCACCAGGTTAGGTAAGTTTTCTGCCATTACTTCTTCAAACACATTCTCTCTCCCTTGTTTGCTTTCTTCCCCCTCTGGTACACTTATTATGTGAATATTGTTATGTTTTGTACTGTCCCACTTATTATGTGAATATTGTTATGTTTTGTGCTGCTCCCTTATGCTGTCCTGCTGTTTTTTTCATTGATTTTTCTTTCTGGGTCTCTGATTGATTTTTTTCTATCATGTCTTCTAATTAACTGATCCAATCCTTGGCTTCTCCTAATTTGCTGTGTATTCCTTCCACTGTATTCCTTATAGGTGCAATGTCATTCTTGATAGTTACTATATTTTTTCTCATGCTATTGAGTCTCTTTGTCATCATTATTCTGAACTATATGTCTGATAAATTTCTTATCTCTGCTTAATTTAGCTCTTCTTCTGGAGAATTCTCTTGTTCTTTCATTTCAAATTTATTTTTTGGGGGGCTGCCTGTTTGGGTTTGTGTCTGTGTATTAAATAGATCTACTATGGCTTCTAATGTCTAGTGCAGAACAATGTCAGACTCTGTTTGTGACTGACTCTGAGTACCCTGTTTGTAGCTATTAGGAATCCACAGCTTGTGGCTCCCTCTGCTGGGGCTGGGTGCCTTTGGAAAAGACCAAGATGTGCACCAAGGTCTGCTTTTTCTAGCCCTGTGCCCAGAAGGGAACTATGTGTGTTTTATACAATAAGCTTGTTTGCCAGTGTCTTTGTTTAAAAAAAAAAAAAAGAAAGAAAGGAAAGCCCCTTCCATCATTGCTGGAACCTGCTTGCCCACATAACCCTTTTCCTGCGAAACAGTCAGCAAGTATGTTTAAAAATTTCCCGTAGCTTCCTGATCTGCAGAACCTGCCTCACCTGCAAGTTTTTAATGTTTCTCACTCGCTCCGTTGCCCTTGAGCCATGCAAGCCTGCCACCACCCACTGAGAAGAGTTTAGCCCTTTCCTGATCCTGGAAAATGTGATTTCAAATTTGTCTGCTTTTTGCTTTACAGTAGTAATGCAGTCCTCTACGTTTTTTGTGTGTGGTTTTTAATTGGCTGTCACTACATGAAGCTACAAATTTGGCCACTTTTCCACGGCTTCATCAAATACCACACACTTACTTTTAGCACCTTCTGGAGCAATCTCATGTACAGATTGATGAACTTCCTCTAAGTTTTGGTTAACACTGAATGATTCAATGAACACTGCTGATTTGCTAAGACTGAATTCACACCCAAGAACACTAGAATCGGGTTTCAACAAAGCTGGTCTAACACACTTGTTTTCTCCATAAGGCACATCACCACTTTTCTGTGCCCTGGGACACTACACAGTATTTGGGGACTATACTTGGGTTCATTTTAAACAGTGAAATCACCAACAAAAACTGCAAAAATCATGGCACTAAGTAAACCATGAAAAAGACTTGTTTACATGGGAGAAATAAAGTGAGAAGGTGACACTGAGTTCAACCTGAGCTGGGGTGCACTTTGGGAGACTCAAATTTCCACTGCGCTGAGCAGGTCCGCAAATGACCGTGGAGGTGTCGAGAACTCTGATTTTGAAGTTACAAGTAACTTTTGGCAAGTGGGTGAACTCACAGATATGGATTCCATGAATGATCAGTTTGACCTAAGCTATTTTTAGCAATGGTTAGTATCACTAAAAGATCTCTGCTTAATTATTTTGCTACAAAAGCAAAACACATTAAAAGATCATTTAATAAGGCTTAATCTGGACAAAGCAGGCAATATTTAACTGATCACTTTTAAACATGTCTTTCCCTATTCAAAGCAAACAATGACTTTGTAAATAAGCCATATTCTGGTGCCTCTTCAGTAACAAAATGGCCACCTTTTAAGTTATCTGATATCCTACCATCAATAGGACACATGTTGACATTGTTTTCCCGAACCAAGGACACACACTGTTCAGATACCCTGACCATCTGTCACCCATCTTTTCAGCCATCAATCCTAAAAGAGGACACACTGTTATGCCTGATGAGTGTGCTCAGCAGTGTGGCTCACACACAGTATACCCATCTTTTCAGCCATCAATCCTAAAAGAGGACACACTGTTATGCCTGATGAGTGTGCTCAGCAGTGTGGCTCACACACAGTATACCTAACACCCCACACTGTTGACTCACGTACAACCATCTTTTCTTCTGTATCACCCAGTTTTCAATGTAGTTTCAGAGGTTAATTATTCTGTCTTTTTAACTGCATTCTTCTTAGGAGACTAAGAAGAGGCTTTTCATAAACATTCTTGAATACCACCCCCCAGTTACCCACTGCTGCTGGTTTCTTTTATATCCTACCCACTCCTGACCGACCTTTCACCAGGGCTTGATTTCACTTACTTTCTAGCTCACTGATGAGCTGGTTATTATGTAACTTGACAGCTCGATGCTGTTCCACCTGATCTTCCAATTCAAATATAGTTTCCTTCATGTCTTTAATTTCTGCATCACTCTCTGATGCTTTCTCTTGTAGTTTGAGGCTGGTTCTGCTTAGCTGTTCCGCTTGCTGATCACATATCTCCTTCAAGTAAGAATAATCCTTCTCCACCTAAAATAAAAGGAAAGTTCCCTGGTCAACGTAACAGGAAACAGTTCTCCACACGTTAGCATCAGACTCCTCAACACAACAGCAGAGGAAGTGCATGCCCTACCTAGCAGCAGAGACACAGCGAAGGCTATAAATACTCAGAGAAATGTGATATATACACAAGGACAAATGGGTGGATTCTGTACCCCTTCCTACTAACATAAAGAAGGCTGCACATGCTTAAATGTCCTCCTTTCAGGCATCTGGTCTAAAGCAGCCTTTCACACCAGGAGGCTGGGCGGCTGCCTTACCTCATATCTGCTATGGAGCAGCGACACCTGCTGGTAAGACAAGAACAACACTCTAAATCCTGACATCCCCAGCTTTCTTTCACCATCAAATACTTGTGGCTCCAGTGGTTTCTCTTCGAGTTATATAACATTAATGTCACAGAGAACATCAGCTGAAGGCACAGAACATAAAAATGTGCAGGCATCAGGCAAAGAAAAGTGGCACAGCACAAAAATTCATTTTACCTTTCCAATTTTTAATCATTAAACATTTAAAATATACAGAAAAGCACCAAAAGTGATGAGATAATCATACAGACTTAACAATGGTAATATTCTGCCAACATTTATTAAATATTTTTACTTTAATAAGGTTTGTTAAGACCTCAACTTTCTCTCACCCTAGAGAGCAATATGCATTATTCTAAAATTGGTATGTGGTCATTCCTTCCATAGTTTTTATACATAAAATTTTTACACAGATGACGTTATATTATACTATGCTTTTGCAGTGAGGCCCGGTGCATGAAAATTCATCCACTGGAGGGGGTCCCTCAGCCTGGCCTCACAGTCCAGGAGCCCTCAGGGGTGGGAGGCAACCCAGCGATCAGGGGATGGCAATGCCCCATCACACCTCTGCTGCTGCCATTGCCGGCAGCGCAAGCCTCAGCCAGCTCTGGTGTCTACACCTCAGGCAGCCCTGAGTGGCTGGGCAGCTGTCATCCAAGGTTTGCCTGCATCTTGGACCGGCCCTGGGAGGCTGGGGGGCTGAGGGGACTGGGGGACTCTGGAAGCAGGCACATGAGGTGGGCCCGGCCTTACTGCGTACCTGTTGCCCCAGCAGGGCTGAGGGGACTGGGTCCTGTCCATCTTTGAGGGCATGGCAGTCAATTAGCACATTCTCTCCTTATTGGCTGTGTGTGCCACCATCTTTGCATGGTCTGAGGGTCAATTAGCATATTCTCTCTTTATTAGAAAGAATGGTATTGTTTTGCCATGTATTATACTATGCTTATTATGCTTTTATAAGTTGTTTTTGAGATATATTCATACTGATATACATTGCTGCACAGCATCCCACTGTCTGAATACACTAATTATTTTATTACTAGTGGCCCAGTGCACAAAATTCGTGCAAGGGTGGGTGTCCCTCAGCCCAGTCTGCACACTCTCCAATCTGGGACCCCTCAGGGGATGTCCAACTGCCAGTTTAGGCATGATCCCCGCTCCGCCCACCGCAGCGGGAGAGGTGTGGGCGGGAGAAGCGGTGGTGGTGGTGGGAGGGAAGCCCGCCGGAAGTCTTGCAGGAATCTTCCTGCAACAGGCCCCTAGTAGAATAATAATGAATGTAAACTGTAGTAAAAAAAAAAAAGAGCAAGAGTTTGGGGTCAGACCTAACAACTTCTAAGCTTTGTCAGTTAATTAGCCTAATAACTTATTTTCAGCCTGAGTTTCTGAACTAAAAAAAATTAAGATGGTAGTATCTATACCATAAGATTATGATGAAATTAAATAATCCAAAGGTTATAAGAGTGTTTAGCACATAAGCACTAAAATATTAGCTGTTATTAAAATGCTAGACACCCAGTGCACGAAACTCATACACTGGGGAGAGGGGGAGGTTCCCCGCAGCCCAGCCTGTGCCCTCTTACAGTCCGGAAGCCCTTGGGGTATGTCTGACCCATGGTTTAGGTCTGCTCCCCCTAAGGAAGCTGGCAATTGGACGTCCTTTCTGCTGCCGCAGAGGCAGGAGACTCCCACCAACGCTGCTGCACTCACCAGCCGTGAGCCCGGCTCAGGGCTTCTGGCTAGTAGCGCTCCCCATGTCAGAGTGCACTGACCACGAGAGGGCAGCTCCTCGTTGAGCATCTAACCCCTAGTGGTCAGCATGCATCATAGCAACCAGCCATTCTGCAATTAGGTCGATTTGCATATTAGCCTTTTATTATATAGGATGATGATAAACATCATTTTAAAAATATCTGAATATATTTAAAGCAGCCTCTCTCCTAATTCTGTTGCAAGTTTCTGACATTGATTCATTTACTCATTCAACAAGTATTTATTAAATACCTTATATATGGAAGAAGTCACAATGTTAAAATTATATATAATATGAAAGTAAATAATCTTGGAATGATTGCTTGAGTAACTTTATTATGAGTAAGAATGTGTGTTATTTTTCTCATGTTTATTTTTACATCTAAGTTGACTGCTCCAAAACTCCTGCTCAATCCTGGCATTGTTCTGAAGAGATACTGCTGATGGAGAGCCCTGTTTCATTCTGGCATGACCTATTTGTTTTGCAATGCTGCTATGCCAGTGCAAGGAGGGTCTGCTAGTTTAGTGTACACTTAAAAAAAAAAAAAAAAATATATATATATATATATGTATATAATTGATTTTTTACAGAGAAGAAGAGAGAGGGATATAGAGTTAGAAACATCGATGAGAGAGAAACATCGACCAGCTGCCTCCTGCACACCTCCCACTGGGGATGTACACGCAACCAATATACATGCCCTTGACAGGAATCGAACCTGGGACCCTTCAGTCTGCAGACCGATGCTCCACCACTGAGCCACACCAGTTTTGGCCTAGTGTACACTTTGTTATGGAAAAAGAAAAATGGCTCTGGCCATCTCCAGGAGGGCAGAGTCTGTGTCATACTTTGGGGCTCTCTAGGAGACCCTCAGTGCTCACCCAAAGGGATGAATGCTAGGCTTCAGAGACAAGTCCCACAAGTTAAGGAGAATGGTATTCAGGTCTGACTTCATGAAAGGTATTAACCTGTGTAAAGAGAAAACTAGGCCCTCAGAAGGAAAGGGGGTCAGCCAGGGAAACCCAAAGAGGAGAGGTGACATGGGGTCCACGTGAGGAAGCAGCCCCTCCCTCTTACGAGCTACCTGGAAGCCCAGGGAGCTGGAGCACAGACTGTGATTCTGGTCCCACTGGCAAGCCCATCCCTACTCAAACATCGGATCTCGCACCGTCAAACCCTCAGCTTGAGCTCCCACCCCTCTTCACATGGGTTCAGGAGCAGAGCCCACCAGAGGGGTGAAACAACAGTCATGCCAACATGTGGCTGCCATGTATTCTGGGCCACGTGCTGTCACAGCTGACCTGATAAAGGGTAACGGGTTTCTGGTTGTACAATTGATTCTCAGCAGCTGTAGCTCCTGCTGCAGCGCAGACTTCAGGCTGAGGGCTAGGACATTTCCTGGGGCAACGGCCCACCTCGAAGGCTTCCCGGTGAGGAGCTGCAGGCCTTCCTTAAGCTGCCTCAACGTGCCTCTCTTGACTTGCGTGGGAGCAGGAAAACAGGCTCTGTTTACATGTTTCTTACATGCTTCCTTTCCAGCATGAAGTCATAGGCTGTTTCCCCAGGAGCTGACATATCACTGCCAGCCAAATGTCCTGGAGAATGGGGGAAAATGTCTCACCTGAAGATAACTGAAATGTTCAGATTTTCAGCTTAAACAACTCAATCTTAGCCATCTTTTCCAATCGTGTCCAGCCCATGATTTATAGGAAAGTGATCCTTAAGTTCCCCTAAACTATACCAAAGAGCTTCACCAACTCTGGACTCCTCTGAGGGGACGGGGATGGGGCTTCACACGAGTGATTCAAGCTGATGCAGACATGATGGCTGTTCAGGCCAGGAGACAACGACCCCTAAGAGCCGAAGGCCTCTCAAAAGCAGTGACACTATAGCTGAGACCCAAAGCTTAAGACAGGGTCAGGCAAGTGAAGAATGGGGAAGGGGGTCAGGGAAGCAAAAAGAGAAGCAAAAACATTTTTGGCAGAGACAGCCTCTACTTCTTTCGTCTGAGGCGAGTTAGGACAAGAACTGGCATGGCTGGGCCTAGGCGGGAGGACGGTGGTGGGCCAAGGCTGGAGGAGTAAGCAGAAGGCAACCACAGGGCTTCACGCATCGGGAGGGGTGCTCGGTGCAAAGGGGAACTGCTGCAGGCGTGGCACAGAGATCTATGAGCATTTGGTGGAGAATGAACAGGGGTGGGGAAAGTGAACTTGTGGAGGGAGTTCTGTCGAGGCTGTGGCAAATGGCGCTCTTCCCTACCCAAAAACCATTCTCCCTTTTTCCTACAGAGAATCCCAATTCTGTTCAAGAGTCAGGATGTGATTGTATGATTTCAAGGAGGGTGGATGGAGGAAGGTGAGTGACCGAGTTCTGACCACATATAAAGGGAGTTGCTGAGGGGGCTCCTGGGGGAAAATGTTCTCCTGATGAAACTGAGGTGCCTGGGCACCTGCCAAGCCTCCTGCCTGCCAGGACTGTGAGGACGAGATGGGGAAGATGCTGTGCTCCCTGTTCCCTTGTCAGGAAGGCAGAGAGAACCGCAGAGCTGCCAGTCCAGAGTCCTCACATCATGCAGCCCCTGACCACAGCTACCAACTCCCTGCCTCCTGGACTTCTGATTCTGGGAGCAGAGTGAACGCCCGTTTGCTTAGGCAGCTGACACTAGGAGGGTCTGTGTCTCACAGTCCAAAACCTCTCCCGGGCATCCTCCTCAGAGGCCACCTGTATGCAAGCCAGGCTCTCAGATCTCAGTCCTCTAGGAAGTCCTGTTCTGCAGTCATGCCTAACAGAATCATCTGCTTGCCACACCTTTCTCTCAAATTTTGGTTTTGTCAGTGGTTACTCCAGTTTGGTCCAATGAGAATAGAAATGTGGAACATTTTACCTTCTGACACATAAAATTCTCCCAT